AAGAGGCACCAGCACAAAACTGTGGCTTTTCGCTTCAAGCGCTTTTTCCTCACTGCGTTATCCCATGACGCTTTTCTTTTTGCTGCTTACTCAGCTTTACCTACTCGGCTTCACAGCGTCAGCTTGACTTGCGATCGATTTAGATTAATATGATTGTAAATGACGGAGGTGAGTACAGCAGATGGCAGCTTACCAGTCCGGGAAAGCGGTCCGGGAATGGAACCCGCAATCGACTCCCGCTCGCAGGCAAGCCAGGCCTTCTACCCCTCCCCCCACCCGGGACGGTAAATTGCTACCAGATTTGTTTGGTGGGTAGAAAGACGTAACTTGTACATCAGCTGTCGCCACACAAGTCATTGTATAGGCCACCTCGCATTCAGTCAGCCACTACGATTCTGAATGGAATAGAACGTATGCTGCATACTGAAGGGATTCATCAATGGAGGTGACTTAATCAACTTCAGTGGTAAGTTGAATTATGCATCTGATGAGAATTGACTATTCACTACTCTTTGTGCTCGACTGCGGCCAGTATTAGATGTACAATTCGCTTCATGAAGCGTAGGTTATGTGGAAATATGAGCAAGAAATTGAAGAAGATCTTGACAGTGGTATGAAAATGTGGAAGGGAACGTCACGAACCTTTCTTGTTTCTTTTCTTCTTCTACGATCCCAGACTCAGACAATTAGTAGATACAACTTACTGTCTGCTCACTGCTCTTAGGAGCAAGCTCTAATGACCTACTATTTTGGGCCTTCGCGTATGTAGCATTGTTCTTGGCTGAAAGTGGATTCGTAGACAACGCCTGAGGCGGTTGCCCTCGAATAAAGGAAGTGAACTGAAGGAAACATTGCATCAAGTCTACTAACCATACAATTTTACAGCGCAACCTTTGCTCTTAGTCAGAGACCACACTACCTTTGTCACACATTTTTTTTGGTTTTCATAAGTGTTCGCGGCTCGTTCTTCCAGGAAAAGTGTTGTTGGCGGGTACTATTCATGGAATCTAACATACAACTGAATGTCCTTAGCCGGCTGCGCAGCGTCACTGCTTAATCCGGTTTTTCTTGTCGCTGTTGTGGCTATTCCTATTTCTGGCGAACGCGTCATCACTGTCGTAAAAATTCCTTATTCGTTCAAAATAGCTTACTAGCCGACGCTGCAGAAGACTTAACGAGAATCCGTGACGTCATCAGAATTATTTCCAGCAGCGATATTGCTTCGAATCTGAAAGGTTATCTAAACGAAAAGGGATAGGCGGAGGCAGATGGGCATGAAGTCAGACCTACCTACCCTGTGACATCCGTTGTCTTGCTGACGTGATTACAGGGGCATTACCGTGTACCGTCTGGCCCGGTGTTTATTTGGACTTGCCACTTTGTAGGCGTAGGAGGCGTTGACATTCGAAAACCATCTGCTCATGAGTAGTGCCTCGCTGGTGTCAGCAGTTAAGATATTTGATCAGTGGTGTTTTGAGAGTGCGTGGCACTTAGGGGGCTGATGGAAAAAACGATCAAATGCGGCCCACGCTCTCAAACAATTCGTAGGCGTCCTTTCTTTTACATGTAGTCTGGCCCGTCGTCTCTACGGCTGTCCCAATTTTGCGGCTACACAGTGACTGAAGAAGGCGCTGCGGTTCTCATAAGCGGTACCTCACTAGTTGTGCCGCTCACCGGATTTCAAAAGCTCTTTTTTTATCGCGACTTCATTTCTCGAACCACATTTTTTTCCACTCTCAGGTGGTAATAGCAGTGAAATACACGAAGAAACGATAAGTGTGCCTGAGGAGGTGGATATTGCTTTGCTGGCATAAAAGAGCATGATAGAGCAACTCGTACAGTGGGGCTGCCAAGGGGGTTCCTACAGTATTCTCCATGGCATTCTTCCGTGGAGAGTCACTTGGCGACTATAGGTTCGGTAACTCAATATGTTATATTGTGCCTCACGAGGTTTTTAGGTGGAACTATTTATTTAGCGGCCTGACGCTTCGAATATCGTCTTCTTCAGAGGCCTTTGGCCCACCGTAGACGCGGAATAATCCGCTATTCCATAAGTCAACCAGTAGCGAACCTCTTAAGGCGCAATATAACATACTGAATTATTTTTTGGAAACTAACATGTCGAGGTTATAAGAAGAGAGAAGTCGGAGAATATAGGTTCGCTATTGAACGCGGCGAGGCACAATAATGCAGTCGCGGAGTTTGTCTTTAACGCGCTGCGGACCGCCGTTCTGAGGGGACCTCGGTCTTTGGATATTTGTCAACCCGAACCTTCTTTCACCTTCCTTTTTTTCCTTTTTCCTTCTTTTCTTCCTTTCCTTGCCTCGTTCCTTTTCCTTAGTTTCGTCCTCTCAAATGCTCCCGCAGAAGATCCTACGCCACAAGATATATCTGGACCCTCGCAGCGGGAGAACATCATGACTTGACAGAAGTCTCGCCAACCGAAATCCCCTCCCCGTCTCTTCACTTTTTACATAGCAAATCAGTAACTTCATCGGTTTCTTCCACTTTCATGTGAAACATGTGTGGTCCGTACCCAGAACGTGTTCTTAGGACTTTGGATCATGAAATAGATGGCAGATGGACCATATGAGACAAAGAAGACAGGAAAGAGTATGACACACCACGTGTGTCACGTGGTCCGCAGCGTGTTGAATCGTTTTTTCTGCCACTGTCGCTCATCACTAATTGGAAAATTATGCTGAAAAAACTGCGTTGAAACTCTAGCGGCTAATGATATTCTTTGACTGAACTCTACGACTATGTTTCTCCGATCCTCCGAAACTGCAATCGATGACTGCTTCCTATTTTTTCAGCCTTTCTGGGAACCTCTTCAGCGATGGCAGTGGCACTCACTTATGGTGTTGAATCTTTTCCTTTTTCATCTATAAGAGCTCTCGGGGCTCTCTTCCTTCCTCGTGCTCCAAGGGGACCTATGTATTTCTCTTCTGTTACCTTTGAAAAAGAAGTGAGGCGTCCTTATTCGTGAGTAATTGAAGCGTTTTTTTTGAAGTCATATGACGGGATAGGAGGTGTTTTTGAGTTCAGTGAGAACTTTTCGGGCAGCTTCCCCTCTGCCGAACTCATAAGCGTGCTATTAATATAAGCGCTGCCATAATTGTGCACGCAAGGATGCGTCAGTGAACCTTTTATGTTCTCTCCAAACTTTATGATGGCACGTTGCCGGCTTTCGAGCCCCATTACGCACAGTTCTTCTACATTGCTATTACCCATAGCGTTATGTAGTTATTGTTGCTGGAATGACGTTACTGCCCTGAAGGGTTTCAGTTGGGGGGTTGGGAAACAGCAGTTTCCCTTGAGAGAGTATATTTGGGTATTCCATCTGGAAACCGTTTTCATCCGATCCAATCATCAGGAAAACATGACAAGATTTTCCAAAAAAAAGGAAACCCAGCAGGAGGCTACTAAAACAGCGCAGTACGGCTTGGATGGCGGGGGGGGGGAATACTGACTAACACTTGATATCGTTGCAATCATCTGGGGCGGTGCAGGTAGGGTGGGTTGCGCCCGCGTTCGGCTGCCTCCCTCTACCATAAGAGAGCGGTCGTTTTTCTTGGAAGAATTCAGCCAGTGGTGAAAACGCTACTGATGGGTCACTGAATCGCTCTTAATACCGTCCTGAGGCTACAAAATGGTACGAGCAGCATTTCTACGCTTTGTCTTTGCTTTTTCTGCTTCTTCTGATGTTATATGACATTCAGTATGGGAAAGTCTGAAGAAACGATTGTGTGAGGCCAGTGGTCCTGTGAGGCCGGTTTGAAGGGAAGCCCGGGGAGGGGAAACAGTCTGGCGAAAAGTGGCGTGGAAGTAAACTTCGAAGTGGCTTGCTTCGTAACAGCTCGTACCTTTTTCCATCATCACAGGAGTCAGAACACAACCCTTTCATCCCCCATTAACCTAAACAATTCTTAGAACCTTTACTCAAGTCTTGACTTCCTTTCTCCTAAAGGCGAAACTGTTGGAAAATCGGTTTGCCTCTGTTCGGTCTCAAAGGCTGATTCCGTCCAAGGTTCCCTTCATATCCAGAGTTTGTTAGCTGAAGCCAAACCGAGCGGGCAGGATAAAAACGACTGCGTAAACGCTGATGGTAGTCAGTCTGCCTGGAGACAAGCGCAGACGGGTATTTACCCTTGCTCACGGTTAGGCTGCCGTTGATAGACTTTGCGGCAGCGTAGCGTTAGCGTTTCAGCGCTTACGACCAGCGCAGTGCCGGGAGAGGAATGGATACCGATTAGCGTTCCAGCGTTACCAGCCTTTTGCCTGCGGTTCATGCGAAGCGGCAGGGGAGATTAATTGAGAGCTGGAGGGTACAAAACACATCGATTGCGCGTCTCTCACTCGTCCTCAGTCTCTACAATACACATCGATTGCGCGTCTCTTACGGCCACATAGTTCTACAATACACATCGAAATTCGCGCGTCTGTTACGCAGGCCACCGTAGTCCTCTACTTCCCTGCCACTGCAAAACGCCAGCAAAACGCTGGCGATACTGGCCGCTACGCTAGCGTTACGCTGGTGACGCTGGGAACGCTAGATCGATATCCATCCTCTCCCCGGCACTGCCGCTGGCGTACGCTGGAAGCGCTGCTACGCTGCCGCAAAGTATAAACGCAGCCTTACTGGCATTTATATGCGTATCCCACCTGAACGATGAAGGCAAAGTCGCCACAATGAAGAAAAGCGACAATAGCCTCGTAGCCTTGGCGGATCCGGTCAAAATTTTTTGAGGCCACCTCTGCTAATATACCCCATAGGTCATCACCATTTTCCCCACCACTCACCCATTCTTCCTGCTGAATAGCACATACTCCAGTCTTATTGAAAGCTGTGCCTTTCGGAAATTCACGGTTGGATAAACGGCTCAACCGAATCAGGGGCTAATTTTAGGACCTTATAACAGAAGGGTAATTGCAATGCTCATTCTCGTGATAGGATAACGAGGTTGAGTCCTATGTCAACAAATTCTCTGCCCTTTCAGGTGACGCGATCTTCATCGGTGTTGTACTTGAAGTCGCTAGTGAGCGTCAGCACATGACCTAGGGCGTGCTAAATAAGCCACTATAAGGGGTGTGGTCTTTGCCAATTCCATTTATGGTTAGTGCAGGGCTGTGAAGACTGAAATTTGCAGTCAGACTTTCTTCTGTCATCAGCTATTGGGTTGATTCATAACTCACGAATGGCTTTATCTGTTTTTTGGTATTATTTTTCTAACTTTCTAACTTTAATCATTCAACATCACATCATGGCGCAGTTCGGCGACGGGGGGGGGCATTTTGTACTATCATTGCTTCCTTAGTTCCGGTTTACAAGTCTCACTCTGGCGAAACCTGTGAACTCTTGTGAAGCTGGAGCAAGGTCGTCAAGCCATCATGTTAAAACCTGTCAACTCGAGAAGAGGCTGTCTAGATAGGTCGACAGATGGAAAGTAGCAAAAGTACAAAATGTAGCAAAATGTCGCCCTGGTCAGCCGAACTGGCGGCCTTGGAGCAGTAGTGCAACCGGAATCCTTGAGATCGCAGTATGCGTGGCCGCATGTTTAACAGACGGTTTGAGTCTGAAACGATGTTCTCATTGTGTACTGTCTGGGAATGAAAGAATGCATAATTTTCCATTTTTGACACAATTGTTGTCGTGTCTCTGTCCAACACAGAACAAGATGACAGTTGTCCCAGACTGGAATATTCCACGAGTAACCAATTCCGTGCCATGTTCAAATGCCACGCCTACTCTGGCTCAGGGATAAAGAGTGTAACTGTATGACAAATAACGTTCCTTAGCGCATTGTAAACCCATGCTCTTCGATGGCTTTCGTGGCAACTCTCGTAGAGTTCCATAGGCTCATAAGATGCACAAAAGTTTGGACCCTTTTGAAATCCTCCTGGTTTACGTTAGATTCCTTCTCCAGCAAGTGCTTTCTTCGACAGATTTGTTTCTTTACCACTGAAGTAAAAGAAAAAGCAATTGGCTTGTACGAGGACGGTACTAAAGGCAAGATGAGGAACAACTGTCTACTCGAGCGTCCTCAGTTTTTCTCCAGTGCCTCTCGCAGTGTAGAATCAAACCATGTTAGAAAAACAAGTCACTATCAAGATTTTTTCCGGCTGGTTTTTTCTGACACACGTTCAAGCTTATGGTTCGAGTCCCGCACTGTATAGAATGTTAGATTCTGGGCGCTCCCTGTGTGCTTCCTATGATCAGCAGACTACTCGAAA